CTCTTCATTCTTCTATGCTGATCCCAGCTCGAGCAGGCTTTTTGGGAAGCCAGTTCCCACATGTTGGGGAAAAATAAAGAGAAAACGGTGGCCATCGAAATATATTTACCACAAGTTGCTTCACTTTTTATAGTTGGAATCAAGGTATTGGTTTTGGAAGGAGAGTAAAACTATGCAATTGATTACCAAAATTAATGTGGAACTTGAGAGTTGTGGCAATACAAGATAATTACAAATTGCTTACAAGTGATCTTCATAACTTTTGGTTATTTACTTAAATCTCAGTTTATCCTCTTTACCTAGATATTCTTTTTCTTTCTACAAAATTTTGCGCTATCTACTATCTAGTCCAGTATCGAACATTTACGACCTGTTCGGTAGTAATTATGAGAATCAATTTTTTAATCGTTAGAGGAAAAAGTGGATCCCGCCTATGAGTGAAGAAATAAAAAATAATGGTTGACTCTTGAAAGTAACGATAAAAAAACTAATTTTTTGGGGTAAAAAATCATAACCAAATGGGGGCTTAATATTAAAGAAACAAGTTTTGTGACCTTCATTTTTCTAAACTATCAACAATACTTTTTAAACATGCGGCAGAGAAATTAATGCATGAATTGTTCAATTAATTACATTCATTATAACAAGTTAACAACTTATTGATTATCAACTATTTGCAATTACTAATAATTCTCAACAAAAAATATATTGCTTTAAACTAAAATTTTAAAATATAACAATGAAATTAATCGTATTAAATACTAAGAATTTGGTGATACTGGATATTTTTTTCAATTAAAAAAACAGAAAAAAATTGATCCTATCATGACTTCTTTGATAATTTAATAACAATTAAACAATTTGAGCAAACATTGAACGTGGAATTAGTTAAAAATATGAATATAATTAATCAACTTCTATCCAATAGTCCTCATCATCTTCACAAATTCTTCATAATTGACTTGACCATCACCATCCAAATCAGCTTCTTTGATCATCTGTTCAACCTCTTCATCCGTTAATTTTTCCCCCAGATTGATCATCACGTGCCTTAGCTGAGGAAGATCAAAGGACTTTAATTAAGGACTTTTTCAAATTTACAAATTTTGGGACTCAAAATCACACTTTTGAAAGTTGAAGATTCAATGTCACGCTACCTAAAAGATTAGAAAGCCAACCACAATATTTCTTTTTTATATATTAATTTTAGATTACCAAAAAAAAATAAAATTATATTGCGTTAAGACTTATGCTTTTTGTACATAAAGGAATCAAGGATTGTCCAAAAATGGTGCCTAAAGTTGAGTTGGAAGCAAATGATTGGGTGAAAAAGTTTATTGTGTTTTAAACTGTCCAATGATAGAGTACTACGTGACATTATATAAATCATTATGTAAGATTTGATGTGTATATAGCAAGATCCTTGCATTAATAAGTGTAAATGTAGCTATATTATAAAAATTAAACTGAATTGACTGAAAATTGTTGATTTCTTTGACATACTCTCACATACATGTAGGATTCACATGAAGAAAAAATCCCAAACAAAGTGAGCTTCCTCCTCTATTGTGAGTATTCGGTGAGGGAGGTTGTCAACCCCTCCCTCATCGAACAACAACGGTGAGATTATAAACAATAAACAATGACAGATTAATTACATGTGAGCTCTTCAAAGTACCATGAATGTACTTCTTCGTATCCAATGAATAAAGAAAATTAATTGTACTCGTACAATGTAAGAGAATATTTTATGTAAAATCTTCAAACAAAATGCATGATAAATCTTGATTTCACATTAGTGCTAGTTGACTTTAAAGGATTTTCGGGGCCACTAGATTTGTGCCTAAATTTCAAGTTGGTTGTTGAATTTCATTATGTCATACTTGAATCATTAAATTTATAATTTTGTTTAAATCAAGTCACTAAAATTTACATTAATTTAAGCATTTTATGTAGATGGATAAATTTAATCCACAATAACTTAATAGTCTCATATGGGTCATAGAACTTCACCTCAATTTCAGATTAAACGACTGAACTTTATTTTAGTTTCAAATTTGACCACTATCACCTAAAATTTCACGAATCAATGAAAATTTAATTTAGCTGTACTATTGATTATCCATGTAATCGTCATGTGGCATGTCAATGTATTACTATGCCTTAATCATAAAAGTATTTTAACCATAAGAGGTAGTCAATGATCAGATTTTGGGTTTACTACCCAATGGTCATCAGTTCGAGTCCCCTCAGGGTCACTGACGTGAGTATCCGACTGTAAATTTTAGGGTCTCGTGAGATTAATCGAGGTGCGCGTAAATTAATCCGGACACCCACGGTCATAAGAAAAAAAATGTATTTTGGGTAAAAAAATGTGAACTTTAATCTTTTATCTAAAGACATTGACATAAAATCTCATTTTATCATTTTCGTTTATAGGATTCTACGTAACTATTATGCGAAAAATTAGTAATCGCATGACTGTCAGCTAGACAAATTCATTAGTTCGAGAGACAACACAGGTGATGGAACGTACCACAATGCTAAAAGTTGAATCTAAATTAAAGTTTAGTAATCCAATTGAGTTAAAGTTTATGGCAAATTAAATTTACCCATTTAAAATAGAAAAGTTGGGTATACTCTAAATGATTTTATTTTTTATTTTTATTTTTTTGGTCAAATGCTTGTGAAAAATAATCTCACCTCATTGGCTGATATGTAACCATTTTGATCCTTGTCAAACACTTTGAAAGCTTCTTTAAGCTCCTCATCTGCATCAGTTTCCTGATTGTTTATAACATAACACACATCAAGTTTTTGTTATCATAAAATATGACAGCACTGTGCATGAATATTAGTTGAATTACAGAATGCAGGTATTACCTTCATTTTTTTGCTCATTAGATTCAAAAATTCTGTAAATTCTATGGTCCCATTTCCGTCAGAATCGACCTCCTCGATCATGTCGTGGAGTTCTTCCTCGGTTGGATTTTGGTCCAAAGATCTGATCACTGTGGCTAGTTCTTCAATTGTAATGCAACCTGCAAAATATTCGATGCCCAGGTTATATGACTTACTATCTGAAAGAGAATTTACAGTCGAAAAACGAGACGAACCATCTCCATCTTTGTCAAAAAGACTGAAAGCTTCTTGAAACTCAACAATCTGTTCTTCATTTAGAACTTCAGCCATCAGAGAGAGAGAGAGAGAGAGAGAGAGAGAGAGAGAGAGAGAGTTTGAGTATAGATCAGTATTGGTTGGGATTTTATAATAGGATTCTAAAGAAACAAATGAGGTTTGTAATAAATGCAATCTCTTTCAATAATATTAATAATGCGAGTTGACTCAAATATCTCCAATAAACTGATGTGTTATGTTGTCGGGTTTAGCAGATTACTCCTCCATCCCAATTATATAGGCTGGATTTTATTTTTGTTTTGTCACATATATATAGACTCATTTCCTAATTTAGAATATTTTGTTTTGTTTCTTTATCAATATACCTTTATTCAATTTTTCTCACTTAATGTGGCAACTTCTTGAAATCATCCAAATTCTTTATTAATTCCAACAATAATTTTCTATTACATACTTAAAATTAAATAGGGGCAAATTAGGAAAGATCTTAGAAAAAATTAATTTTCCAATGACATTAAATAATATTTTTTAATACGTGTGAAAAACAAAGTAAGCCAATATAATTGGGACGGAGGGAGTATTTCTTTAAAACTTACGCATTTTGAATAGAGACATGTTTTTGATACATAATATTAAACAATTGAATTCTATTTCTCCATTAATATTGCTCATTTTTATGCACCTATGGTACTAAAGTACTCGTAATAATTTACTTAGATATCTAATCTGGGAATTACCTCACCTCACAGGTGATTTTATGGCTATTCTCGATGGAGTCAACTTCATAGTATAGATCATAAGCTAGTGTCGAGAATTAGAAATTCTAATCTTATTCTAACGAGAGCAATTAGATTGGTAGAAAATATAAAATAAAATAAAAAAACGCAAGATTTATGGAACTTCGTCTTAATATTTGACTACTTCATCTTTCGCCGTTACAATAATTTACTATAATGAAAATGGTGTACAAGAGAAGACCACACCTATCCCCCGTCTCTCTTACAATGTTGATACAAAAATCTAATGATGACTCTCTATTATAGGCAAATTAAAACAAAATCGAAATTTACAATAACATGAATTCTTAAACTGCACTATGAAATTTTGATACGGGGCTCCTTCCCCTGTAATGTAAAGATTGATTCCCGTATAGGCTTCGTCAAGTGACAATAATTAGGTTTGCAACCGACCAACTAGCAACTAAAACAATGGATATTGTAATTTTTCAAATTGTGGTTGGATGTTAGTGATAAATATATGCATATATTAATGTGAACAGCTGTATGGTTAGATGTAAAGGGGACAAAAAGCATTAAAAGAGAAGACTCGAATGGGAAGGCGGGTACTTGTACTGTGTACTTTTGCTAACCCAAACTTTCCACCCAAAAAACCCGCTGCATTGCTTGCACGAGGTTTACTATTTTTAACAATGCCGCGTACCACCTGCCTTTGCTTCTCCTCGAATCTTAGAAATATCACAAGACGATTGGTGACCACATTCAGATTTACTTTGGGGTGGCGAATTAGGGGAGAATGTTATCACTCCTCAAAATTAGTTGGACAAAATTCGGATACCTAAATAAAAAAAATAATAATAATAAATAAATTATCACAGGACGACGAAATTAATGATGGGTTTGGATCGTAACATTTATTAAAATAGTATACTAGCACTTGTCTTTAGCATCGATCTAGATGGTAGTTAATTTTTTGTTAAAATACATTTTTATTTATTAGACAATGGATCAATGAAACTGTCATTTAAAGTAGTGCTCCCATCACGTATCATTATCCTTTTTAAAAGTTTGCATGAAGATAGAATAATTATACAAATTGCAAATTACTGCTAATCTTGTCTAAGTAACAAGTCGGTTCTCAACAACATAAAAAACCCAAAAAATTGTTAAACTGTCATGCAATTCTAGCCCCCGTTTGGCCCCCGTTATTTGGATTTATAATGTGGGGAATAGTGTTTTTTTGAAAAATGGATTGTTGTAAAAAAATGAAAAGTTTTTTATTTGCATGTAATATTATTTTATTGAAAATTATGTAGTTGAAAATAGGAGAAACAAAATTTAAATTAAATTGATGAGTTTTAATGGGGCCAAACGGGGGGCTAGATCAATGACTCTCAACTTGAGTCATTGCTTTAAAAATACCACATGTTCGTGTAGCGTCTACATGACTATATAACTATAGTAACGTGGTTCCCATCTTAATAGATTTTTATTATGCAAATATAATGAAACTGTTGGATATGGGATGGTGCTTCACTATTAATTGAACTCCAGCCAATGTTGATGGGTTGGACGTTTCGTTTGGGCCTCATAGTAAAATCGGGTCATTTGAATGACCCAAGCGAAAAACGTGTTGTTGGTTAACAAGACTATGACCTTTTGTTTTCTGATTAATCTTGGACCATTCGTCTGACTTATTCCTAGCCGTTGGATCAATGTGATTTGTGATGCGATATAAATAACACCCTCTCTCTCTCTCTCACTTCTGAACGATTAAGTGTTTTCTGGAAGTATCTAGGGTTCTTTCGGTTTCTTGAGGATTTTCTTCGATCTGTTTTACTGTGTGTTATTTTCTCTGAAAGTTTCTGAGTGAAGATTATGAATATTGTATTTGTAAGCAATTATAGAGAGAGCAGATTGTGAGTTCATTACGTTGTACTTTGAAAAGAGAGGCGAGAGAAAATATTGAAGGAACTTGAGTTTCTTTCATACATTTGTACTGTTCTTGAGAAATTTCTTAGTGGAATCGAGCAATATCTACTTGTAGATGCTCAACGGGTGAGTAGGCTTTAAGCTGGACATCCAGGCCTTCGTGGCGAAAAATCTCTTGTGTTTGTCTTCTTTTTCAGTTTTCTGTACTTTAAATAATTGATATTTGATTCTGAGACTAACAAGTGGTATCAGAGCGATGGAAAATTGTTCGATTAAGTTTTTCGCTCTTTTCGAAAACTGTTCTTGCTAAAACCCTAAGAGCTTTCAGGTTTACAAAAATTCTTTTGTGGAATAATTGTTTGATTCAATTTTTTATTGAATCCTTAAACACCAAAAGTTTTCTCTGAAATTTCTTGCATGTAAATATCTGGATCTGAAAATTTTTCGAAGTAAAATTCCCTAACTTCTCTGAATCTGGAAAACTTGGTGTTCTTTGAGTCTGCAAATTGTTATGACTCTTAACTTGTCACTGAGTTGGTGTGATAACTTGACTCGTTATTGAGTGCTGGTGAGTCAAGTTGACTCATTCCGAGTCTATTGGAGCTGAGTGCTGAGTTCTGCTGAGTCGCTGTGACTCGTGGCCTATTTGATGACATTCCCAAAATGTACCACATGTTTGTGTAGCGTCTACATGACCATTTAACTATAGTAATGAGGTTCCTATTTTGATAGATTTTTATTATACAAATATAATGAAACGTTAATTAATAATTTGCACATTTTTTCCAAATTGGAGACCAACTAGCTACCTGATCAATGGTTCAAGAACGAGTAATGATATTCGTCATCAATTAGATATCATTTTATGATATGTTCAATAACATGGATTTCATGTCTCTACATTTAATTATACATATAATTTAACTTCACTATGTTGTCACATAGGGTGGCGATTCCATCATCATGATGAAAAAAATCATTATTCATTGAGAACCACTCATACGGTATATATATATATATATATATAGGGACTGACTCAGACGACTTGGATTAGGGGTCACAAGTAAAATTTATAAGATATCTTTTAATTAAAAAAAAGCTAAAAAATAAAAAATAAAAATGCCAAACAATTTTATTTTATTATTATTATTATTATTATTATTATTATTATTATTTATTTTATTTCAAAATTTAGAGGGTCACTTGATCCTGTAAACCCCCCTCACCCGGGTCCGCCCATGTATATATACATGACTGTATTATTATTATTATTTATTTTATTTCAAAATTTAGAGGGTCACTTGATCCTGTAAACCCCCTCACCCGGGTCCGCCCATGTATATATACATGACTGCTAGCTCGAAGTTGAATGGTTCAATGATTTGTTTTCAATTGCCAAGTCAATTTTGGCTATGTCTTTCCTTAGCTGGCCGTCAACTCATTTCAATTAAGGTGGCAGGCAGAAAACTTTGGTTAACCTACCAATGAAAAATGTAAAAAATAAAATAAAAATATATACTTTCTTTCAAGTAAATTTAATTTTTTCTCCTCATCCTAAATAAATTTATTTTCTTAAAGGTTTTCTTTGCAATTGCCAAGTCAATTTGGCTATGTCATTCCTTAGCTGGCTGTCAACTCCTTGCAATTAAGGTGCCAGGCAGAACTTTGGTTAATCTACCAATGAAAAATGTAAAAAATAAAAAAAAATATATACTTTCTTTCAAGTAAATTTAATTTTTTCTCCTCATCCTAAATAAATTTATTTTCTTAAATGTTTTCTTTACAATTGCCAAGTCAATTTGGCTATGCCACTTCGTGGCTGTCATCTCAGTCCAATTAAGCGCTTTGGTTAATTAAACACTAGTAATTAACAAGTAGTTTGAGCTGTGGGCAGTGTGCTGTCTTTAATCCTATTAATTAATTAATTTACTGCGTCAAACAATATAAATGTGCTTTGCTGTCCACGCGGTTTTGCTTGCTATTGTCTCAATTGACGAGGCACAATTTGTTTGACACTAAAGCGTGTTGGCGTTGGCTAAATTTAAAAGTTAAAAGTAATGATATTTAAATTTATTGGAGTTACAATTTCAGTTTAGATGACGTTAATGTAACATTAAATTATAAGTAAAATTAAATAAGTCATTTAATTTCATCTTTCATATAGTCTATTATCTAGCGCTAAGGAAGGCAAATTGCATTATTCAAAAAGTAAATGTCATTCGAAATTATTTTTGAGTAAATTGCACAGAGTCTCCAATCTTTTCTTATCGCACTTTTATCCTCAACTTTTTAGTAATTAGCAATGACCGTCCAATCTTTTCTTGTCGCACTTTTATTTTCAACATTTTAGTAATTAGTAATGATTGTCCCTAATGACAATTTCCCTCTAGATTCTCTGTTAGTAATCCAACGGGTGTGTTTGAG